TGGTTAAGTTATGAAGTATAACGTTGCCGGTAATCTGGGAGACTGATACGGACGCTCAACTTAACTGTACATGACGGGAACCAGACGCAACAGCCAGACAGAAGGATTAATGTTATACTTATTTTACACTTAACAACTCCGTTATATTTTAAGAATAACCAGACTGTAAGCTGTCTATGTTTTACTTGTATTTCAGAAATGTTTTTTGCTTCATACATTGTTTTGCGTAACTAAAGAAACATCTTCGGTTTGGTTTTTAATAACATTTATAAATGTCCTTTTTATTTTTAAAAAGTCCTTTACAGCTTACACTAAGTGTCCAGCAATTAATTATTATCAAAGCATAATTGGATATTTTTTACAATCGATGTAATAATCGATATTGCGAATGTCGTACTAGACGACTCTCGTAGTGTAAAGAATTTTAATGAGATATAGAAGGCATTTATCTGATGTTAATGGACTATCCCTGATGATCGGATAGTTCAGTGACTGAGCGAGGGGGGCGCGAGGTGAGGGGGACAGGTTGCAAACCGGTGCGCCTCGCCCCTGGTCCTGGCTAAATATGGCTACCTCCAACCCTCTCCGCACCGCAAATAACTCAGGTGACAAACGAGTACTGTCTGCGAATTTCATCGCTAAATTATTGCTGACATAAATATAAATGAACATTCCAGCTATATTTGTCAAACAATGGTTGAGGTTTATATCTTTTTTATGGCAAAAAATGAAACCCAAATGACAAGTGGACATAATTTAGTATTTTATAATGGAAAGATCAACTATAAATAAAACCTTTTAGACCAGATCAGTCTGTCTTTTTTTTTTTCTAAATGAATGTACATCATATTCCTATACCATAACCGTTGCAGTCTGCAGTTTACATTAAAAATGCTTGGACTCTGCTCCGAAGAAAAAAAAAACTAATGAATGTTAAGTTTTTTAAATAACCAAACAAGCATTTTTAATCTGCTCAAATACAACACTTCTGTATTGCATAGACTTGGTCTACATGTGTTTAAATTATGTTTTATTTTTCAATTTACATTTTTATTAGAAAAGAAAATTTAAGTAAGTGCTTAAATTAATAGAGTAGTGAATATTTATAAACATTTTACAAAATAAGGACATAAAGTGGTTTATACTTTTCAAAGTAGAGCCAATAATGATGCAAAAAGAACCTAACACAATGTAAATAATGTGTTGTTTATGTTATAAAATGCATAATTGATGATGTCAAGGCAAAGGTTATCATTTAACCTTCAAAGATAACTAAAAATAAATTAAATACGGTGAATAATGAATACACAGTTTATTCTATTAAAACTGCAGAATATTATCATTATCAGTTGAACATTAAATTACAGTGAAAAATTAAATAAATATTTACTTTAAATTGATAATATTCTGTACTTTTGATATGATTGAAGTAAAAAAACACACTCCGAAAAATATAAATAACCAACCGGGTACAGATACATAGGAGTAGTATTTAATCATAGGAGTTTAATCATAAATTAAAGTTGTTGCTAATAAAAAGTAAACATTACCTTTAACGACATTTTGGCTTTAATCGATTTTCTTCTTACAGCACGTGGACGTAAACAAACATGATTCAGATCAAATTTAATTTTGCACTGCAAAATAACTGACCGATATTTTATCGTTTGTGTTTATGACGTACAAAATAACATTACGTAACTGCACAATTAATACACTTTGTATACAGCGGCACTTTTAACTCATATGAATCAAATATTCGATCTTTCGTATTCAGATTAGCAAGCAGCACACCATACACGCACTATACTCGGCTCCTCTCTTACGGCTATTAAATTTTTCCCTCGCTTCGCAGATTGCCTTGCTGATTTGACATTCGGAATTGGAAGTTGCCATAATATTGCCATTCTTATAAATGTTTAAATGAATAATGTTATTAAATTAAAAATTGTTGTTTTCTACACAATATGTTATTCGTGTTTTGAATAAAATAATTAACAATTTAAAATCAGTCAGATTAAATACATTGGACTTACGTGTCAGAATTTGAAAGTTACTTAATAAGAAAAAGTGCCATCTAGCGTAAGTAATACGAAGTAAGATACCAAAGAATTAACTCTGCCACTTATTGATGTTAAATTTAATGTATAGATGGCAGTATTTCAAAACAGGTAATACTCTAGGATAAATTCAAATAAAAACAGAACTTTTTTAATAGGATTTATTTATATGAATTGTATTTAATTGTTTCTGTTAGTTGATGAAAAAATATTTAAGCACTAATGTTATAAAATGGGCCGGTCGATTTGATGGTTAAAATTGATTCTTAATACTTATTGAATTTCAGTTAAATTACAGGTGTCAAATTAATTTTCACTCTCTTCGTGTCCTGAAGTTGTTTTCATCAAATGTTTCTTGACAGCTTCGAGCGCAGTCTTCACATCGTATTTGTTGTGATGTGCGGACACGTAATGTGCTCGGAGTTCCGTCGCCATGTTGGTCTGGTATGTGCAATGGTGACATTCGTATAAATACAATCCCTCGTGGCGGCCGCTACGGAGGACATGTTTGCGAAGGTTTTCCTAAAAGAATTAAGTTTGACTTTGATTTTATCAAACATTAGCAGCATTAGGACATAACATGTTTCGAAATTGCCGGCACACGGCATGCAGTAGCAACAGGCAGCAGGCAACAGACAGCACTGACCAGGCTGGCGCAGGTGAAGGCGCAGTGCGGGCAGGCGTAGGGCTTGTGTCCGGCGTGGCAGCGCGCGTGGCGCCGCATGTGGCTGGCCTGGTCGCTGCTGAAGGGGCACAGCGCGCACGAGTGCGTCCTGATGCTCTCGCCGTGAGACCGACGATGGCTGATAAACATACCATCAATACTTAAAAATGCTCTGATTTTGCGGTCTACAAAAATACGAAACTAAATTACGCTGTAATACGCCATCTAGTGATCATGAAAAACAACATACCGTATAAGTTGAGCTGCTGAGGTAGCCACGTAGCCGCACTGGTCGTGCGGACAGCGCCTCTCGATCGCGGTCTCGGACGCAGCGTTGGCATTCTCAGTTCTGAAAAAAGAACGTGGAATAATAATGATAGAATATTACCCGGAGGAGCATTAGTAAGCAAAAGTCTAAGTTCACGTCACTTTGGAATATATGCGTTATTGTAGTTATAATTCCAATATAATGTAATTTAAACGCAGAGTATTTTAGCTAAAAGTTTCGAACATGATGCGATGACTTCATATGTCAAATGGGGAGAATTAAAATAGCTAACAGGCAACACCGGCGAGCCAGTGACACTTGGAGCATCCGCTCGTCGGCGACAACGAGGACGGGCGACGACGGCTCGGAGCGCGTTAGAGTTTCAACTGCATTAATGCAAGTCGGCGTCGCAATAATGCATAAGATATTGCACAAGTTGGATCATCAGCGGCATTAGACGCCCTCAATGGCTTTACAATGTTCTGGATACGATGAAAGTTCTGGTAATGGCCGCCGCCGCTTGATTCATGCGGTTTGTGGCTCGAATTAGATCCCGCGCGGCGGTTATCATTTTGATTGTCTGTTTTAATCGTGTCGTTAGCGAGTTC